TTTTTATTTGGTAAATTAAACAAAAATACATTCAAGTATCTTCACTAAACAAGTCATTTGACAAAAAGACTTCCTTTTACCTCAGCCATTCTTTGGTGCTCAAGCATTAAAGAAAAATTTTTGGAATATACTATTGTACACAGCTGTTTGGTAGGAGGAAGTGGGGGCGTCTTCAGTGAAACACATACGTTTTGCATGCAGAGACTACTATTTTTGTTGTGAATTAATATTCAGTTTTGTTAAAGTTAAAGCGAATAAAGAAGAAACAAGTGCTGTGATGAACAGATTCTTGACAGTTACCAGTTCGCTGAAAGTGATTTCATGACTAAATGTCCTTGTTTAGTATATAGCCTGCACAATTAATGGCAATGTGTACCTCTCAGAGAATAACATGAAATCCAATATGAGTCAGGGATTTATTTTTTTCCTTTCCAATATCATGCTGTTATGCTTTATTATTCCTGAATCTCTCTGTCATGAAATGTGAAATTAGATTTGTTTGGTTTTATCTACTCGGCATTCTTAAGCTTTGTGACATAGAATCTACAAGTTGAATGTAAATGTTCTTTATATTCATTTAGCACTTCAGTAACGTAGTCTTCAGTGTATAAAAGAACCAGGCTTACAGAACAGAGATCAGACAGAATGAATAATAAAGTATGCTTTCTTTTTAGAGGTGAAATGAGTAACTACTGTGTAAGTTTAGTAATTGTAACTGTCTTGCTCTTACCTGATTTTCTCCCTCCTGCATTCTGTCAGGGATTGTCTTTCTCTAAGGTAGCAATTTGCACTCTTGATCACTGAATGCTGATCTTATAATGCCACTGGAAAATGGGCAATACTGAAACAGTCGTAGAAATATCATGACTTGGGCACTTACTGTCTTGTTCTGCTGTGTCCCTTTACCTACTGCAGGAAATGAGGGGCTGGGGGGAAGAGATGGTGCAAGGGTGTAGCCTTCCTGTGAGCAGAGCAGTCTGCAAAGATTTGTTCCTTGTTCATTTGGAGTCAAAATCCTTACAAATTGCTCCACCTGAGGGCAGAGAAAACCTTTTAGTAGACTAGGGTCTACTCCAGGATTTGGACTGCTCCAAATCTGTAGAGGTAGATTAATACCACTTGGCTAGAGGAAGGTAATTTTGATTCATGGTGTAGACAAAAGGATTTCAGTCTCTTCAGGGAAGCATAAGCCAGAAGATTTTCAAAAAATGAATGTGCTTTCTAACCTGAAACCCTTCTGTAGGCAATCTGAAAGTGCAACTGTGCCTGGGCATTTTTAATTAAAAAAACCCCAACATTCATAACAACATATAATGCACTAGCACTAATATGCCATAATTAGCAATTAAGTCCATTCTCATTGCACATAAGAATGACCATGCTGTAAAGCCTCTCTTCTCAAAGTTGTTGGAGCTCTCCCCCTCCGCTATTCTCCTTGAGCAGGAGACCATGTCTGCCTCCATTGTAAATGATAATAGACCTGGTGGGAATTGCCTGAATCTGCACTTGTTTTCTCTTAAAAAAGGAAAATAACATTTTACTGAAGACCATTTCTCCTGACTGCTCAGAAGCAGTGGCCAGGTTGCTCATGGTGGTGGTTGCTCATGCTTCTGTCTTTTCTGATGCTTATATAGCTTGAGTTTGCTGTTTATTTTGCTCATATTCTCACTCTCCCAGTGCCTTGTTAAACATTTTATGCCAGACTGATAAATAAGAGTTGTCTGTCCTTTTCATCCAGCCAGATATGTCTTTAAATGAAATACCTGCTCTGAAGGAAAAGAAAATTGGGAACTGGAAAACAAGTCAGCCTTTCAACTGAGCAGCAAACTGCAGTCATATGTTTAAGGACAGATTTTAATCCCAGTCTAAAACCACAATTCATCTGTATTTTGGCACGCTTCTGGCACAGAAAGGACCAGGAACATCAAATGCAGCTTCTGAAAGAGCATTTTTCTGCTCAGGCGCTTGTGTGGTCCTCCTGACTGTGACCAGACTCATCATAGCTCCTGACAGCTGGACTGGTTATTTCACAGAACTAAAACAGATTTAAAAGCTTTTCCTCATGCTATTTTTTTCCCTTTAATTCTGAACTACTGAGTTCCCATTTTTCAATAATATATATAAAACAGGGTCTTACTCTTTTTTTTTTGTTTGTTTGTTTGTTTGTTTTTTATAGAAATGAAAATTTTGCTTTCATGGCACTTTTTAATTTCAAATAAGTCAGTTTGGACCTTTGATATGCATTTTGCAGTCAGGGTAAAATATGGATATTAAAGATGGAGTTGGAGGTTTAAAGACAAAAATATCAGTAATTCTGTTGATTATGAACCCAGAAGGTCTATTGCAATTGCCCTGATTGATCTTTTATAAAATGCAGTTCATGGGATTTCTTTTAAATAATATTTACTTGAAATGGACTGTAGGCAGGAAAAATATCTGATTATGATTTAAAAATACACAGCCATTTTAATAAGAACTATCCCTTTATCATTGCGTTCCCAATGCACATCTGAGCCAGATACTGAACAATAGTTTCATCTAGTACCATTTCAATCCCCAGTAAAACATTTTGGTATCTATTACAAAAGCATAAATAATACCTAGTGCCTTTATGGAAATTTATATTACTCATTAAGCTGAAATTATTTCATATTTCCTGATGTCGTGGTTTTGTAGTTTTCAGTCAAATAGTCATTTACTATCTTTGTCTTTACGGGTATTTGGGTTTCCTGATAATGGCTTTGTTTGGAATTGCAAACTTTTTAGTTTTGAGAAAAACAGGGCAAGACACTTGGGAAGTTCCTGACAATAATTGTAGATCTTTTACACTGAAAAATGTGAACTCATTAAATTTAACATACAGTATGCAATTATAGGCAGGAGAGAGAGTGTTAGATTATTGGTTATAGTTTTTCTTCCTTTTTTTTTTTTTGCCCCTCCCATTATAGGATTGATACCGTTTCTAGGGCTCCAAAGAAATAGCACAAACAAAAATCCAATTTTTTCTAAATAAAATATTCTTTAATTGTTTTTCTCAGTAAGGACATCTTCCACCTCCACACTAATAAGCATTCTTCTGTGCCTCAATAGCTACCCACTCACTTTTTCTCTTTAAAGAATTGACTGTCCCAATTACCATTGAGGATTTTCAGTCTCTCATTAAATTCAGAGCAGCAGGCAATTTAATCAGGTGGTGATCAGTGTAACATTACAGAAAATGACCTTTAGAAAGTGTATCTTACAAATTTGGATACTCTGTTTTATCAAACATATTCTTACTGTTTAGTTCATTTACAGTTCCCTTTGGGGGAAAAAAGTGACTTGTAGACAGCTCCTGTGTATGCTAAAAAGTACAAAAATACGTTTCTCTGTATTATTTGTCTTCAGTTTGAAGTGTCAGCTCTTGCACATCAAGCAAATATGAAATTTCTCCCCATTTTGGAGAAGTTTAAATCAAACATGGAGATCACTGAGGACCTGGGACATGGGCTACAGTGTCATTACTCAGGTGAAAGCCTGGCTTCTTTTTTTTTCCTCTAGTCAGAGTATCATTTCCCATAGTTGCAGAGAAGGAACCCTCTTGTAGATGGAGGTTTTACGTTTCAAGTTGTGACTCAGAGTATCCCCGTGGGCTGTGGAGCGGAGCTCAGGCATCCGTGGGAGCTGCAGAGAGTGGAGGGTGGTGCTGCAGCCGTCCCAGCATTCTGCAGGGCTCCACAGGCTCTGCAGCATGGCTGAGGACACTGCGGCTCAAACAGCTTCTGGAGAGCCTTTTTCCAGAAATCCCTGGAGACTTAGGGTATCACTCTGTTAAAACGTGTGGTTTGTCTAGGGCCAATATACAGAGTACGAGAGCTGCCAGGCCAAAAAAAACCCCACTGGCATAGCGGGGTTCGGCATGGTGTAGCTGTAATAAAGTATGCTAAGCCATTGGTGCCTGCGTTCGCTAGAGTTGGTAAATTATAACTATCCCCTCGAGATGAGCCATTGCAAATTTAATTTAACAAATTTAGTTGTTGTCCTGGGTTCAGCAGTAGCAGTCATTTTTCTCCTTAGTAGCTGGTGCAGCGCTGATAACACCGCTCTTTTCAGTTTTTAGTTGTTTTAACATGTTTTTAGTTGCTGCTCAAATATTTAGTCTGACCAAGGACTTTGTGAACCTCATGCTCTGCCCGGGAGGAGGCGAAGCCGGGAGGAAGCAGAGACAGGACACCTGACCCAAACTGACCAAAGAAGTATTCCATACTACAGCGCATCATACCCAGGATGTAACTGGGAATTACCCGGAAGGGCTAGTTCACTGCTTGGTCGGGCTGGGTATCGACAGGTGGTATTGTATTCCCTTTCCCTGTTATTTCCTTATCCCTTATCATTATTATTGGTGGTAGCTGCAGAGGTTTGTGTTCTACCTTAGTTACTGGACTGTTCTTATCTCAACCAATGGGAGTTAACATTCTTTGGATTTTCCTCCCCGTCCGTCTGAAAGCAAGTTGGGGGGGTGGGGCGGGAGGAAGTGGGGTAGTGAGCAAGTGGGCTGCGTGGGTCTGAGTTAGTGACTTCACTTAAACCACAACAGTTGTGTAGTACGACCAAGATCTAAAGCAACTGTATTTCCCATATTGTATTCAGATCACAAATTCACAAATTTGGGGGTTTCTTTTTCTTTTTCTTTTTTCCCTGTTCATGAGACTAGAAATACCTTAGCCCTTAAAAATTCAGGAATTTGAAGCCTGACCCATAAACTCCAAACCCTAAAATAGCTCAGACACAGGGCTCTTTATGGGTAAACCAGACCAGTTAAAGCTGTCCATTCATATGACATTTTGAGGCTCTATATCTAGAGTCTGCATCACACAAGGTGAATAACAAGCTGAATAGGTAGGATTGGACTTCTAGGAGAGTGCATATATTGCCTCTTCTCCTCTAGCAGTAATGCAAATTGGGTGTATGCCCTGGGCTATAAGATCCAGTGTATTTTATATTTCTTTCTTAGGCACTAACATGCTCTGAGGATATAAATATCTTTTTCATATTATATTACACTGAGTTATGTAGTGCGACATTATTGAGCGCTGCCAGCTAGAGAGGAAGATCGGACATCCTCTTCCGTGCATGTTGATTTCTGAACTCCTTTAACAACATCATCTGTTTCTTCAGATAGGCCTCTCCAGCATAGCTGTATTGGAAATGTGAAAGTGTTTATGTCAGAGAAGCAGGACTACAAGTACATTGTAAGAGGCATAACCGAAAGGTGTCTTACAGCAGTTCTGTCTTAATTTTGATGACAAAATCTGAATCAATTCCATGCATAAAAAGAATGCCAGTTTCATGAGATCAGAATTAACGAAGATACACCAATTTCTTTCCTCTGTAGATTAAAGAAATGAACAAAACCCACTGTGCCAAAATATGCATCCCACTTCTATCCTTTCCTGTATATCCTGAGTACACACCCAGGAAGAGAAGTTGACAGTGAAGCAGTATTTAATAATCTTTCTGTCACAGTTATTGAATAACAAAAGTTTTCTGCAAATGAACCTCAGGAGAGAGACCAAACTCAGCAGTAACTAAATGGAAATTAAAAACCAAAAGAGACAACTTTCAATGGCTATTTACCTAAAAAGAAGTGAAATTCTCTGTGCTGTCTTCCAGATTGAAAAGAACTTCTACAAAATATGAAACCAGGACATTAAAATACTAGCCACTGATTTTCAAACAATACTGTAAGTTCTTGAATATTTTAGGGTTCTGCTTTGAGCTGTTGTCTCTAAGCAACACAACAGGCAATGTAGCAATGTTTCATATGACTATAAAATATATCTACAGTTCTTTTCACCTAAATAGTGAAGTTGCTAAACCTTTGGAGACACCTATGTTAAACAGTGGATTAGTTGGTAAAACCCAGAAGATTGATTTTTTTCATTCGTCACTATGAGACTCAACTGAGAACGCTCCTCATCAAAAAACAGCATTGAAATGGGGGAAAAAAAAAGGTAAGATTAAGAAACAGTACACTTTTAATACCTTACAGCACCTGAAATTATCAATTACTTTTTTAGAAAAGATACTGTGTTTATTAGAAAGTGGTATTAAGGATGCATCCTTATCATAAGGATAAAGATGTGAATTACTGGCTGTGTAACAAAGAGATGAATTGAAGAAAGGTCTGGAGGGAATTTTACAGATGTCCTAGTCATGAGAAACTTTGCAAAAAGCTTGTGAAGCTGCCCACAGATTTGAAGCTGTGAGAAATCTGAAATGCCATGGATGACTGTGACACTGCTTAAAATTGCTGAGGTTAATGGGCTGCATGGTGGCTATTATGAATGTCACTTAACTGCACTGCTTTTACAGAACAGAGTTTTCCTCTTCCAGTGATGTTAATTATGAAGCATATGTATTCTGAGACAGCATAATGGATGCTATTGTTCCATTTGTGAAAACACTTGATGTTTATCGGTGCTTAAGGGACAACATGCTGCATAATTCTGCTGTACTTAATTTTATATTGTACATAATATAGCACCACATTTTTTGCTTTCCAGTAGAACATCACAGTTTTCTTTGTCACATTAGAACAGTAAAAAACTGTTCTCACTTTTATTATGGTCAATGAACCTCATTCAATACTTGTGATTTTGGAAAATGAGTGAAGGCTTTCTTCAGCCTGGTGAGTATTCTTTCTGAAGAGTATCAGTCTGATCTTCAACATCTCAAAGTTTCCAATTACTGTTTGGTTTTTTTTTTCCCACCAGGTCTCCTGTCTTTTATCCCCTGCAGAACTAATTTGGACTAAATCAAGTCATAAGCAAACTTACCAAATATCATGAAACTAGTGCCATGGGCACAAGAGCTGGTAGATGGCAACAGCTACAGAGGGTAGAGTTCTAACATTCCAAACAGTCTTAATTCCTACCTCTTCCCTTCTTTTTCCTCTGGGCAATGTAGAAGAGAGGCTTTCAGGTTTGCTCTGGATATGTATATATGGATGTCTTAATAAAGAGCATTGAAAATTTGTATGTGCTGGTTTTGGTATTTTGTTCTTGTTGCCATGAGCAAATGAAGGCAGCAAAGACCTCTTTCACTGATGTGCGTCACAAATCACTTTCTACAGAAAGAGAAGATTTCGTCAAATATTTGTTGCCTCTGTGTAGAGAGATACTGCTCTAAGGTTTGAATTATTCCTAGATTTTTCCTGCTGCCCCCTAAACCCCATACAATTGATGCTGACTGTATGAGATGTCTTCTTTCCCCCCACCCCATAACCCACTTTCAACTTACTGAAATGTCTTGGATTGAGAAAGATTTTCATTTACTATAATGACAGCAAATTTTAGAATATAATAGAGATTGACTACACTATTTTAGGAGCTGAAGATCCCTTTTTTTCTACAACGTGTAAATCCTACGAGTTTTTAGCAGGTTCAAAGCTTAAGTAAAGTACGTATTCCAAAAGTTTTGTCATTTGAGCTGCATTTAGCCATTTCTGAGCTATTGTGAATAAAACATTCCCTACCTCTACCTTAGAAGCAAGGAAGCATTGATTTGGAGACAAGTGCTTGAAGATGTGCTCTACTATTCATCTCTGAGGTATTAAATTACAGAAATTCCTGTAACGTTCCTCTCCTTCATGCCCATCCCTAAAAAAAAAAAAAAAAAAGCAAACACATTTTCAAGAAAGCTTAACTTAATAGTATTACAACAGTAAAATTCACAGCTACTGCTCAGGTCTGTCCTGTGAGTACTTCCAGACTGGATAAAGGATAAAATTCTCTCCCCACAGTGGTGTGGCAAAAAAAGGCAACACTAATTACATATTGTGACAGATTGTTTTTAAAGATGTACCTCACAAAAATGGTGGATATAGGAAAAATGAAAATAATAGTTCAGGAAAAAACTGTGGAAGCTGTTGATGTTAAGTATGACTAAAGCACTGCAATTGAGGAAGAGCCCCACTGGGTGCTCCTTATGCATGCTCTTAGTAATTGTGTGGCTTTGGCTTCCTTTGAATGATCTATCTGCAAAGGTAAAAAGTAACCAAAATGCAAATTTTGTTTTGTGAACTGAGAAATATCTTTCAGCCTCTTACACATACACCTTTTGAAAATGTCTTTTTAATCCACAGTTCTAATTTGGCTTGGACTCAGTCTTGTGTGACACATCTCTGAAGTTGTTTTGATTTAGAAATATATATATTTAGCTTAGTACTGGCTGAGAATTATCTTATGGTCTATGTAAGATGGATGCAGTCCCTGAAAAATGCCATTGGGATAGACAGAAAGCTATTCAATCTTATTATTTTCAGAAAAAGATGATTTTCTCAGCCCAGTAAGGCTTGTCTTGATACTTCATTTAGAAGGTTGGCCCCATTAACCTGCATGATGTGCAAAGTATGAGCTAATGCTGCTGCTGGTGTCAGTGCTCTTTTGGATAGAAGAGGCTAAGAGCCTGCAAAGTGCAGACTTAGTTTCCCTTTTATTATCATTGGAAGGAGGCATGCTCTGTAATGGGGCTCTATAGGGGGAAAAAAGTTCCCTTCCCTCCCCAGTCCCATTAGTCCAGAACTGTTGCTTCACCAGTGCAGATGTCCAGCTGCCTAGCTGGACTGAGGCACCAGGCTGCCTGCCCTGGAGTCTGTAGCTCACTCTAGAACAGAATAGTTATTTCATTTGGAAAGGACTTACAACAATCATCTAGTCCAACTGTTTGATCAGTTCAGGGCTGACCAAAAGTAAAATCACATTAGGAAGGACAAGCATGTTATTATTTACTGTAGTGACAGGACAAGGGGTAACGGGTTAAAACTTAAACAGGGGAAGTTTAGATTGGATATAAGGAAGAAATTCTTTCCTGTTAGGGTGGTGAGGCACTGGAATAGGTTTCCCAGGGAGGTTGTGAATGCTCCATCCCTGGTGGTGTGCAAGGCCAGGTTGGACAAAGTCTTGGATAACACGGTTTAGTGTGAGGTGTCCCTGCCCATGGCAGGGGGGTTGGAACTAGATGATCTTAAGGTCCTTTCCAACCCTCACTATTCTATGATTCTATGATTCTATGATTAATGGCCTGTATACTTGCATACACTTAATGTGTATGTATTTCTCTTGAACTCCTCAAAGCTGAACAGATTATGACTACAGTTCTTTGAAGGAATGAAAGGTCAATTATAAAACTGTGGGAATAACAAAGCATTTGTCAAAACACTGTGCTGTCAATTGTGCGATTGAAATGGTCATATGTATCCTTTCTTTTCCTGCCTTCTTGGTTGTATTGCCCATGTTGTCACTGTAGCTCAAATTCAGAGGCTGTGTTCTGTGCCAAGTGCTTCGATTATGCGTGGAGTCATTGTGAAGACTTGCACCCTGAAAGTTTCATTAAATTGTGTCATTCAAGAAAACTATGTTAGGCCCAGACATGTTTGGTGTTTAGGTTGATGCTTAGGGAAAATCCCATCAAACAAGGTAACCCTGCTGTCTTGAGCAAAGCAGGAGAAACCTTGAATGTTCAATGTAAGAATTCAGAAATGGGCTATGTGTTATGAAATGTAGAAGCACATATATTCATTTAGTAGTTTTTGAATGTTAGGATGGTAAATGATAAAAAAAGATTAAGTTCTTACTGTTATCAGGACACAAACTATAATGTAACATGACATTAATTTACCTCATTCAGTGGGTTTTCAATGTTTCTATATTGAAAGCCAGTGATGTGAGACTTGTTTTCTGTGCTACCTTTTGTGGAACCCTTATTCCAAGAGCCCTGGGACTCTGGATCGTAAGAAAATCACTAAGCTCCTTCTAGTATCTGCAAAATCTGACATTTTCTTCTGTATTTATTTCACTAATCTCTGTCTCAATTCTGTGCTGAGTCTGTACAAAGTCACCGAAGAGGCAGGAGCGGGATCTCCCAATTGGCAACTGGTTCCCTGGTATCTGTTTTAGATCAAGAGGCTACAGGATCTGACTTTGTAGTTCCTGGAAATATATAGTCTCTCCAAGCATCCGTCTCCCCTCTTATGAAATAACAATAAAAAGAATATATTCACAAAGGTATTTCAGGGGTTAAGGAATCAGTGTTTTGAGTAGCTGAATGCAGAAGTGCTTTGTATGATTAAGTACAGTTTTAATTAATTAGCTTAGGATTTTGATAATGTTCTTTGTGAGGTCCTGCTGTGGTTCATTTAGAAGAATGCTGTGTGCTCTTCCCATGGGAGTGTAAAGGATGGTGTGCCCAGAACATGACCACAGCCCACATCTCAACACATCCAAAAGAGGCTGGACTCATTAGCTACTATTGAAGTTCAGTTACTTTGTATGTAAAGATGTTGGAACCCAGAGGAAATATTGGTGCTGTTCGGCAGGACAGTGTATGTGACTGTCCATTATTTAATAGTGACTGCCTATTTTCCTGGTGTTCCTTTTGGTCCTTGAAACTGATAGACCAAATACCTGGCTTGAAGTATATCTGCTATAATTCTTGGCATATAGTATCCTGAAATAAAGTTTGGGGGTCTTCCCAACTGGTTCTTTGCAGCCAGCTTGCATCCTTATTTGGGCTACTTGGGGGATGTCAAAGGGATACAGCATGAGTCAGACCCAATACCCTAATTCCTATCTAACTGATAAGAAGTATAAGTAGTTGTGCAAATTTGTACACCTACACAATAACGGCTTCATTTTCCAAGCTGCTCTTCTGGCTGAATATTACAGATAAGGTGCTATTTAGAAATGCAGTACTGACTGTGATGGGTATAAATTGCAAGTAACCATGCCAAGGGCAAGTATGGGTCACTGTCCTTTTACATTTCAGGAGCAAAGAGAAGTCTTTGGTGAGCATAGCTGTTCTTCAGTAAATGAAAGACAGAATTGCAGTCTCTTTTATGATAAACTCAAATAATCCATGTGCATGCCAATCTTAGATTTTGGAGGCAGCACCCTTCAATTGCAGGGGCAAATGTGCATTTGGATAAGAAAAGTAGACAGCGAAGTGTAAATTTTGGCAAGAAAATGTTGCCTGCCCTGTTTTTTCACCTTAAAGAGGAAAGGGAAGAGAGATTATTTCTTGATACAGTGTAGATGTATCTCTTCTTCCAAGCTGATAAGCTTTTGCAAGGTGTTACTGCTTTCACAGAATGGTTGAGATTGGAAGGGACTACCAAAGGTCGTCTAGTCCAGCCTTCCTTCTCAGTCAGTGCTCTGAGGCCACCATACTTAACACGTCTCAAGTATTTGAGGAATTTTAGCCACAGAAATAGTTCCCCACTGTCAGACAATCAGGACTCTCTACTTGTAGGTGAGTAGTCACCTCTGAGCCTTAAATTTAGCCTCTTGACCAGTGCAGATGCGGAAACTCAGGTCCACTTTTAACTTTTCTATACTTTGTATCGTTTCACTTGTGCTTACCTTCAGTTGTTAGCGCTGTGTCTGCTGGCTAGCATGATGGAGCCTGATTTCCAGACTATGGCTTCTAGATGCTATGGAAACAGAAATAAATATTTTTTACCTTTTTTTTTTTTTTTCTGTATTTTATATTATGTAAGTGCACTAGTAACAATGCATGGCACCAGGAATGCAGTAATTGAATGTGCTGTGCAGAGCTTACTCTTTGTTGCTTAGCAATTAAATGTATGCACGCAGCAGCAGCACTGACAAAAATGCTAATAAAAGGTGACAAGTTATATCGCCAGAAAAAAATTACACAGTTAAGGAAAAAAATCTCTGACGAGATACAGGAGCAGCAGCAAATGGTACATACTCACAGATTGTGTCCCTCCTGAAGATCTTCAGGTACCGGCCACTAGAGGGGCTGAGATGATGGGAATAGGAGGTATTCACATTTATAGCATGGGCTACAGACACACAGTTGTGCAAACATCATGGTAAGGCTTTTTGTTGTTGTTGTTGTTCCTTTATTATTTGTACATATTTTTTATCTGTAAAATGTCTAGAAACCTGTTCTGTTTTCTTTGTTTCATTCTCTTTCTTGGTGTTCAGGTTTGCAGATTTTTCACAGCATCTCT